AGATTTACGACAATATTTTTTGGGTTGAAAACTGTGAAGATTTTATTCGTTTTGGCCTTTCATCCACACAGAGCCGGTGTTTTTATTTGGGTGGGCGAAAACAGTGTTTTTTGAAAACTGATCCCAGAGTGGAGAAATCTGAGAACGCTGGCGTTGCGTTGTCGTGTGGACAAGTAAACTGCAGCTTTTGGAAAACGATGATGTTGAGACCCCGTCATCGCCTGGGTCCTTCGAAGGCAGTGAAGGCTGCTGCCCTCGAACTAGTTCCGCGGACCGCATGGCTGTTGGCGAAATGTGACAGGTGTAGCCCACAGAGCTGCTCCCGTCACCCAGCAACCAAGACATGCTGCTAACGCTAATGCTAACAACACGCTCCACACAGATTACACACACGGATCAGTAACAAAGATTATGCACTGGTAATTAAACTGTTGGATTTTGAGACTAAGTTATTCTAATAATTCTCATCCAAATCTTATGGCTAAAAGCGAAAACTTATGTTCAACTTTTGCCAAACAAAATGGCTTTATTTCTGAGATACATCTAAAATAGGCTAAATGACCTTAAAGTTTAAAAAAACGATGATGAGATCTGCATTATTAGTATTATTAAATATTATTATCACTGGTAACAGCACCACATAAAGGTGTGGCATATGTATTACATTGTTCTCACATAAATTTGGATGCCCATTTTTTTCAACCTCCAAAAAAATAAATAAATAAAAAATCCAGGTTGTGTGTTGTTGTGTGGATGTAGCCTTAGTTTTAGACCAAAAAGCTGCAAATTAGGGATGCACCGATCCAGCTTTTTCTGTCCCGATACGATACTTCATCTTTAAATGTCTGCCAATACCCGATATTAACCGGTACCAGTGTAGAGACCTAATAACTTATTACAAAAGAGGTCCAGTTGTCTTACGCAACTGTTAATTATCCTTCAAAACATGACGGAGCAGGTTTGTAAGAGTAAAAGTTCAATCATTAAGCATACATAAGTCTGTAAATGTTCATTCAGTTAAAGACATTCGGTTAAATGACATTCAGTTAAAGGCCCAATCTTGATATTGGCTTAATCAATATTATGGATGCCCGATCCAGCAAAAATTTCAGTATCAGCACAGAATCCAAGACCAGTATCTGTATCAGTGCTTCCCTCCTGCAAATTCATAGTTTACATGGATTTTTTGTTAAATATAGTAGATAATGCTATTTAAAAAATCGTATATACATGTTTATTAGCAAAAAATGTAATTGGATTTAGTGTTTGGTTCCACTAGAATAGCAAATTGGCAACCTATTTTTTAATACATATTGGCTAAATGTGTGCCATCTCTTTGGGGCAAACTGAAGCTAAAACAAGTGTACTCTGATGCCAGACACTCCGCCTGCATCGTGAGTACGGTCCACGGCGAGCGCTTTGGGGACAGTGAAATCTTGGCTTGTGTAGAGCTTTGTCTATAAATAGCGTAACACCGGGGGGTACTGAAATGGTCTATCTAGTGTCTTTTCACACAATCTCTCACAGCTGAACTCGGAAATATGTGCTTTATTGTCTTTCCTCTAAGCTGCTGTGTGGTTGTACTGAAATCTGGCATCTTCTGTTTTAAATGTTAACAAGTATGCAGTTTGTGTGTGTATTAGAATTGTGTACGATGTCAGATTTTGCATATTAAATGGGTTTGTAAGTAGTAACATGTATCTTTTTTGATGTGACAATGAAAGGGGTTCAGATTCAGAAAATATACCAAAGATGCACACAATATTCATTTAGTAAAGGCCTTGATATTATGTAAAACTGGTTACACTTTTAAGCATGTTGTAATGTTCCTTTTCACATTGTGTCCCAAAGACTGGGTCGTGGGCCTCAGGTGGGGCACAAGACATTTTTTAGGTCGCCTTGTCACAATCTGCATGCAGATCTGCAATATATAGTTCTGACACATGACAGAGCGAGTGAATATTCTCTCTTCAGTAGGACCAGTGTTTCTATGCTTATTCCTGTTACAGCCCCAGGTCTCCAGTTCTTTGACTTGTTTTGTGTGTTTTAATTTCTTTATTGTCCCCATGGATTCCTGTTGTGAGAGTCCTGGTGCCTGACTGGTGGAGTACTTCTACACCTGCCAATCCTGCCTCACCTCCTGGCTCCATACCTGTTCGGGGCTGCTGACCTTTGTGGCCAATCATTTTGTGTTTGTCTATGTCTCTTTAGTGTCAGTCGTCACTCGTTTGTACTAGTACGTGTCTGACTTTGTTTGTTGTGTTGAGACACTTGGAATCTGTTTTTGTGTCTTACTTTGTCACTCGATTCTGTTTGTGGGTTTATGTGGTTTTACTTTGGGGCACTTCTGTTTTAGTTTTGTTGTGTTTCCCTTAGTTTAATCACTCGTTTTTGTATAGATCTGCGTGACTCGTTTTTTGGCACAAAACTCGTTATGTTAATTTTGTTATTTTTGTTTCTTAGTTAGGTTATTTTCTATACAGATTTTAGCCTGTTTTGTTAACTTATCTTTTACATTCCATCCATCCATCCATTTTCTTTCGCTTATCCGGGGCTGGGTCGCAGGGGCAGCAGTCTATGCAGAGACTCCCAGACTTCCTTCACCCCAGACACGTCCTCCAGTTCCTCCGGGGGGACCCCAAGGTGTTCCCAGACCAGCCGAGAGACATAGTTCCTCCAGTGTGTCCTGGGTCTTCCCCGTGGCCTCCTCCCAGTGGGACATGGACGAAACACCTCCCGAGGAAGGCGTCCAGGAGGCATCCGGAACAGATGCCTGAGCCTCAACTGTCTCCTTTCAACGTGGAGGGAGCAGCGGCTCTACTCCGAGCTCCTCCCGTGTGACTGAGCTCCTCACCGTATCTCTAAGGGAGCACCCAGCCACCCTGCAGAGGAAACTCATTTCGAGTGCTTGTATCCACAATCTCATCTTTTCGGTCATTACACAGAGCTCATGACCATAGGTGAGAGTAGGAACGAAGACTGACCGGTAAATCGAGAGCTTTGCCTTTCAGCTTCCTCTTCACCACAACGGTCCGATACAGTGACCGCATCACTGCAGACGCTGCACCGATCCGCCTGTCAATCTCACGCTCCATCCTCCCAACACTTGTGAACAAGACCCCGAGATACTTGAACTCCTCCACTTGAGGCAGGGACTCCCACCCACCCATCTTTTACATTCCTGTTAATTAAATGTTACTTAATTTATTACATATTTCACCTTGTTTTTTTTTTTGTTACTTCTCTGACCCCAAGAGCTGGGTCATAACAATTCCTTTCACTGCTACATATATGTGTGAATTGTGATCTTCTGTTCTCACAAAAATGAAAACAAAACAGAGAAACAGACTGAATGCTGCGCCTGGTCTACTGCTGTTCTCTCCTCCTTCACCCCAGACTGGAACACGCTACAAAAACAGACAGGCCCACCTATCTCATTAGAAATGTTCAAATGTTAGGACATGTTTTGCATAATTTCTAATCTTTCTGTTATTATATTACTATTTATTTTTTTATTTTTTTGTTTTATTTATTTAAAAGGGACAATGCATATTCATGACCATGTACTTGAAAATACACCAGAGAGTTAGCCCCAAGGCTACTTCTGTAGTACATCAGAGAGATAGAGACAATATAAGACAACATCACACAATAGACAAATGACAATTCATAGGACAAACATGGTAGAAACAGCACCATAAGACACAATCATATACACATAAAACACTGACATTTACATAGAACATTAGTGGTCACAGATCTGGTTTCTGTGGTGGAGTCTCTTATTGATAAAGGGATGTTGTTCCAGATTTCTGTGCCCTTGACTGATCACACCTGCTGACTGAATGTTGTATGTTATTACTATGCATATGTTATTGACTATTTTGTTCCAATATTGCTGGTTCAATTGAACATTGAAAAGAAAAAGAAATGGGCTACATTTAATGTCCAGATAGGCGACTTATGGATCCTTTTATTGCTGCTTCAGTTACTGTTTTATAGTTTAAAACTTGAGTAATAATTGTTTAGAGAGACATGATCAGAAAGTGCAGTATTAGCAGACTTATTTTGCAGTCTAGCAGTTTCAATATAATTTCGATAGGCCAGCACATACAGGCCTATCACCATCTGTTTTTAAACGCATGTCATCATGCCTGTCGGATATTACTATAGAAGGCATCACTAAACTAAAGCAGGATATTGTCTGTAATCTTGTTTCTACATTCCTATTAAAACATGAGCTTCAACAAATAAAAACACAAGGAAACACTTTAGTACTTAGTAGGCAGTAGTCAGCAGAGGCAGGACCAAGTTGTTGTTTTACAAGTCTCAAGTAAGTCTCAAGTCTTTGACCTCAAGTCTGAGTCAAGTCCCAAGTCGAGTCTCGAGCCACTGGCCCAAAAGTTCAAGTCAAGTCCAAGTTGTCTGCTTTGAGCTTCAAGTCATTTCAAGTCTTTAAACCAAACCACCAAATATAGCTTACATTTTTGCAGTTTATATGGATTTTAAGATAAATTGTACTTTAAAAAATCATATTTATATATGAGTATTTATAGAGTATATAAAAGTTGTTTCTTTTTTAAATGTCTTGACAAGATCTTCGTGTGAATCATTACAGTCAGAATAGAAAGAATTCCTTCAAGTCCAAGTCGAGTCCCAAGTCTTAGTCCATTTTATCAAGTCAAGTCTCAAGTCCTAAAAATAGTGACTCAGTATCTTATGTGACCAACTACAGCTCAACTCTAGTTTTACTACAAAAGAAATCGAACATAAGAATAACGTTACTGATCGAGGAGTTGTATGCCGTAACATTTCTCTCTCAAATTGTGCCAAAGCAAATCTAGCCAAGGTTTAAAAAATGGTGTTGGAGGATACCAGCTCATTAGAAGTCCACACAACACCGAGGTCACGATGTCAAACTGTAGTACTGTCTTGAGTCTTGATCACCACTGGCTCCCTGTTCCCCCGAAGCACAGACTAACCACTTCTCTGCTCCTCAGATCTCCCTGTCAGAATGGTGGCACCTGCACGGCTGTGGATGACTCTGCCCCCGCCTTCTCCTCCTGCGTCTGCCCCTCCGGCTTCTCGGGGGACTATTGCGAGGTCAACATGGACACCTGCCAGCCCAACCCCTGCCAGCACGGGGGCACCTGCTCCAACCACGGCCTGGCCTTCACCTGCCAGTGCCCGGGCAACTACACGGGCTTCACCTGCAACGAGACTCTGAACCTGTTACCCTGCGCCGGCCGACCCTGCGCCAACGGAGGCACCTGCGTTGGACAAACCGACGGAACATTTAGATGCGTCTGCCAAAAGTGGTTCACGGGTCCCACCTGCTCCCTCCAGCACAGGCCGAGGGTGCGTGCCAAGCCTGCCGCGCCCAAACCAGTCGAGCATCGTGTTTTTTCGCTCACCCCCCAGCACTACTCGCTCCCGGCCCACGCTTTCCACAAGCTGCTTCGCCCGCCGGAACGTGACCTCCTGAAGATCACCTTAAAGGAGACGGTGCACTCGCAGGGGGTACTGGTGACGCACGGGCAGCTGGTGTGCTTCGGTATGCTGGCGCTGCTCACCTGCCTGGTAATCCTGGGCACTACGGGCATCGTGTTCTTCGGCCGGTGCGAGACGTGGATGGCCAACGCGAAGTACAGCCAGCTGGTGAGGCAACAGAGAGAGAGCCTGCTTAAGGAGGCGGGGGGAGGAGGGCAGGAGGGGCAGGACGAGCCGGAGCACTCGGTCAACATCATCCTCCCCGAGAAGATCAGGCTGAGCAGTTTCAACAGGCACTACACTTCCATATGAGTGTTTGGATGACCACGTATCAGTTAAAGGACCCGTGTTACGCTATTTTCTGATCTATGTTATAATGTTACTTGTTTCCTGGAGTTGTGTTTTGTTTCATTCACATGTTTAACACACAAACTCTGCATATTTAGACTTAGACTTAGAGTTCTTCTTTCAAATGGAAAGACCACTTTGCCACATCCACTGGGTTTTTAAACTCCATACACCTTCGCTAGAGTCATTTGGATCATTTCAAGCTTTGAACTTTTAGCTTTTAACTTGAAAATGACTGTTTCGTGACATCACAAAGTGGAACGGAGCATTTTGAGCTTTGGAGAAGAAGACAAACTAATAATAAAGGGTTACTCAAACGTGTGTGATGAAACAAAATGCAACTCCAGATATGTTTGTGAGGATGTACAACATTATAACATGGCTTAAAATTCATGTCTTTTAAATTGTAACTTGGAGATTTCTGTCATCATCACTGCAATTTATTGGAAAACTTCAAACATTAAAACAAGGCTGGATAAAATTAGGCAAACTGAAGTATCACAGGTATCACAAATGGGGAGTACAAACTTTTACCACTAATAATCTATTGTGTAACAGTACTTTTACTTAAGTAAGTTTTGGCTACTCTTCCCACTGTGAGTAAATCTACAAGTGTCAAAAGTTTTGTTGATACTTGTAAAATAGTTGAACATAAATAATTAATCATTATTATATATATATTATAATCCAGACAGTTACTTACAATAGGCTTCTCTTACTTGAGTTGTAGCTCCCCCAATTTTTTACTCTTAATTTTGGCATTTCTTCTCATGATACCTCAGTGCTGATCAGACGAAGTCATTGCTTAAATCCCACTGCTCTGTTTTCTTTAGTTATTTTTTAACAATACTCCGGATGATCACTTTAAAATGTATTGCGGTTCTAGTTGAAAATGTTTGACACATCATACATACTGTTTACTTTTACGCTTTATTGTCGATATATTTCCTTGTAGATAGATGCTTTTCTCATGATTTGCATTGCTCTGGATGCATTAGTCCTGATGGAGCTGCATATGAGAGTTCCCTAACTGTTGTGCAGTTGAATGTGACTCATTCCTTGGATGATTTATGAATGTAATGTCTGCTCGTCCTCAAACATCTTCTGTAAAATATGTAAAACCATTTACCAAATAGCAGTTGAAAAGAGAAGATGTCATTGTCATTGTATTTATTTCCTACAATGCTGCCTATACCACAACATGATTCTGATTTGGTTTAGCAGACAGCTGCATTGTGCACAGAAGCCGCCGTACTTCCAGTATTTCTGAATGTACATTGAATGTGTCTTATGTATAACGCTGACATGAATGTTTCTATGTCAGATCAGAAGTTCAGACCAGAGTTCATTTCACGTGACTATGTGACTATGACTACAATTATATTTTATTTATTATATTTTTGTTGATTAAAAGTTCATATTTTTATTGACTTAAGAGTACTGATATAGTTTAGCAATGAAATTTAAACATAAATGAAAAAGAAATGGTGTGGAGAGTAGATCCAAGTTTCAGAGCCCCAAACCATAAACAAACTCAATATATATTCATATTCTGCTGATGCACTAAAAGACTATGAATAAGACTAGAATTCAAATAAAATTGAGCAAACCATCCAGTCCAGTCCACACCTGAATGAAACAAAGAATAGAGCAGCCAGAAAGACATCTGCTCACAAAGAGTCTCTCCTGCCAAGCAGCCTACAGTTCTTTCAAATACAAAACTACTCCAAGTCTCTGAGTGTAAATATATTTATACTTTATATTATACTCCCATTAAGTTTTCAATTTCAGTCATTTCCAAAGTCATCATAGTTGAAATACTGATAGGTGATTGTAAACAAAACATGTTAGAAATGTAAGGTATGTTTTTTTTGTTTTGTTTTGTTTTGTTTTTTGTAAAATGTAAATTATTTTTCCTGTGCAGGACTGACCTGATTTGAACATACTGAAACACCATGGGCAGCAGATTGTAGCCTATGTAAAAACATCAGACATAATCTTCTTTGAGACTCCACAAACCCGGCACATTTGAGTGTCAATGTCAGTGTCATATATTCTGTATAATCTCCCTGAATAATATTGGACTTGTAAATGCTGAGCAGAAGGTGAAGGGTGAGACTGGGCCATGTCCAGTGGCTGTAGTGCTTCAGGTCAAACCATGTTTTCATGTGATTTCTTCTAATAAAATCTCTTTCAGCAATTTCTTCTTCAGGCATGTGTGTAATGTGATTTAAAAAAAAAAAAAAAAAAACGCCTTTTGTTTCAGGCAGGCGGCCGTTTGATGAGATTAGCCCTCGTCCTTCAGAGGGAAACTGGACTGGAGTGACCTCTTGTGCTGGCCACAGGGGAACGGAACCTGAGACCTTTTAGCTTTGAAAAAAAATGCTTACAATGTTTTTTTGTTTTTATACATATATATATATATATATATATATATATATATATAAATCATAGGCAGGGCTGGGTCCCAATAAATGCTAATTTATTTTCTGAACAAAAAAAAAAATCTCTTCTACAGTTTTATCAGCAATGCTGTACACTTACAATTTGATTACAGTTTTTCTCAATCATTTTTTGAAACTTGGTTCAGTTTGATGATTTAATTCAAACATGCATCTGAAAAGAGGCTCAGGTGTTCACATCACTGGGAACATTTGTCATCAGTTCACACAGTTCTCAGACTATATCCATGTTCTCAGACTTTTTCTCAAAACACTTGACACAGGTCTCATTCACAAACATATGAGCACTGAATTCATCTTGTTTTTTCAAAACTACAGAGCTGTTCTCACAGGCTATAGAACTTCAGCCCAAACTGTGTCACTTTCAATATAGAAACTCAAATGTAACGGCAAATTAAAATTTGTAAGCACCAAAACTGGAACATGAAAAGGTTTCACACAGGAGTCAAACATGGAGAAGTGTCTCAGTTTTGAGTACTGACACCAAGTACATGTATAGACTACATACAGAGTTTCAGAGACAAACAGTTCTGTTTGATTTTCAAGAAGACAAATTACATATTACATCACAAAAGTACTATTGATGTATCTTCTTTTAGTTTTCTTCCACATAAATATCAAATATTACGATATGTACATATATATGTATTTATATTTTATATAATACTATACATTTGGGTTTCAAAAAAGCACAGCTTTTCCACTCCAAAATTCATAAAGTATGAAGCCTGCACTAAACCACTGATTCTTTGTGGTTTCTGAGAGCAGGACTAACACTTCTGAGCTGCTCTGTCAAATGAATGAAAAAACACATAATGAGAGTTTGAATATTTTGTTGGTAAAATCTGCTTTTGGGAGATGATCAGTCAGTAGTGCAGGAGGAGCCAGACCACTCGCTCAACATCATCCTCCCTGATAACATCAGGCTGAGCAGATTCATCAGGCACTAGTGCATACACTTCCACATGAGAGTTTGAATGTGAACATCAAATGTGCCAAATCACTTTTCTAGAATAACCTCATATCATAAAAGGCTCATGTTACACTATTTTCTGATCTATGTTATAATGTTTACTCAGCACAAACAACATTTGGATCGTAAAACTTGCGGTTGGAGTGGATTGAACAGTTCAGAATGTAAAACTACATTTTGCTGAGATTACATTTCGTTAAGGAAGATTAAAAGTCTGTTTGGGATTTTGTGGGGCAGTTTTACAAATGTCAATTGAAAAATATGCCAAAGCGACTGAAAAAAAAAAAAAAAAAAAAGTGCACAGTGCAAGACATCAATAGTTGGCCTAAACTTTACTAAGAACTTGTAAAAATAGCACAGAGAGATTCTTGGCACAGCTGTCCCATCAGATGTTTCACAGGCCGAGAACAGCTCACGTTCTCCGGGTCTGTGCCTCCGTTAACCTGACGCGAGCCCAGAACATCTGCTCTACAGCTCAGAGCTCCAGGAGGATCCCTGGAGACAGAACAGCACAACTGACAACACAAAACCACAGTGTGCTGTTTCTTACTGCAGTCTGTGGCTCCCTCTTGTGGTTAAAATGCACATAACACTCACACGACCCAAATTCTAATGAAGAAAGAAAGAGGTTACTTTAAAAAAAAAAACTTAAAAAGCAACTTAAAAATTGCTGGACAAGACAAAAAAAAATTAAAAAAAAATTATACCCAGAGACTTTGTACCCACAGTCCCGCCCCACAGTTTGAAATCCTGCTCTCTGCAACAGCCGACATTTGGTCCTGCACCAGTTTTTCATGCAGCTGTATGTGCGTCCGCAGAATCTATGTGTAATATTGTAGTATGTCCACAAGATGGCAGCCTTACAAAACAATCGCTCAAAAAAAGAATAATAGCGCGAGTGCAAGCTCGTCCAGTCACTCACAACATTTGAGAAGTGAGTAGTGGGCAATTGCTTAGTTTTATAGTAACTTCTTAATTAAGCTGTACTTGTAGTCGTTTTTAGAATTAGCACCCTACTTGAGTAATATTTTATTGAAGTGATAGTACTCTTGAGTAAACGTTTAGGTTACTCTCCCCCCTCTGTGAGTTTAGAAGTGACAAAAGCTTTATATTGGCAAAAGTCCATGATTTGAACATGTTTGTTTCTCGCTCTGCTCCTTCTGATATGATTTAGCTTTTTCTAATTTTTACGGTCTGTCCTTTGAAAATACCAGATCTTGTGCATTAGTTTTGCCCTTTGCCTTTGTTTTGTTACATCAGCCAGTGTTCAGTCCATTCAACTTCTCTTCCCCAACACTTTTATTTTACTCTTAAAGGTACAGCGACCGTGTGGAGGGAGCACGTCACCTGCATGATTTTACGTAAATATAAAGTTAAGTTAAGTTAAGTCCTGGGAGATATACGTTTGTCAATGCAATAAAAAAAATAAAATAAATTGATGATTACCAGTGAATGCAGCTTTAAATGTGCACTGTGTAACTTTTCTGGTAGATGGCCAGGCAGATGCTTGTTTCCATGGAGATGTTATTGCTTCTGCCTGCAAAGTTCCAAAGTATGGCATTAAACTTAGACAAGCAAAAGACGACACCAGGTCGATTTACAGGTGAAATCTGTGAAGAGGCGACCCCAATCACAGTCAGAAGGCATGTTTCTAAAAGTACTGTATTTTTGAGCAATAAAAACACCAATAGTTGAATAAATGCATCTTATACACTGTGACTACGTGAAGAATACGTGAGAGCAGGTTAGCTTACGTTTCGGCTTTATTAAAACCAGCAAAATAATAAACACTGCAGGGTTATGTCTCAAAAACTTTTGCCTAACTCATGGTCTGGACACTCCACCTGAAAATGACTCCCTGTTACTAACTAAGCCCAAAGAAAAACCTTCCCATAAAGCACTGCGACCAAGTTTATAGGTTGCTACAATACGTTTAATACAAGGCAAAACAGTAACATCTCCATGGTGGCAGACCCTCAACCTAAAAAGTTACATATTGCAACTTTAAGTAATTTCATGGACCATTACTTTGTGCTAGAGTAACATTACAATTTCTCTACCCACCTCATCCAACCCTTCTCTACCACCTTTCACCTGCAACTTATTGGCCAATTCCAGTAATATTTCATAAAGTGGGCATGTGCATTTTATTGTATTTATAAGAAAAATAAATAATTTAAGATCAGTTCTTCACTCGGTTTTGGAACATTTGGGGCACCAGAGCCTCAGTCAGCTGAACCATCTGCAGGATCTGCTCTGAGCTGTACGGTCTATGTTATGTTTGTAAGGGGCCCCTTATATAAAACAGACTCAAACCAAACAGGCTGACTGCGCATGGCTGCTTATATGGAGTCAAGTACTTTCTTATTGTATTTTTACTGCGCATTTAAAGGGCCCATGTTACGCTGTTTTCCAATTTATGTTATAGTGTTGTTTCCTAATTAAAAGCAGACCCGGAGTTGCGTTTTGTTTCATTCACACAAGTTTAACGCACACATCTTGCAAGACGAGTTTGAAATGAGTTTGAGCTTCTTTTCTCAAACAGAAAACACTCATGTGGTAATACAGGAAGTGCTCCGGTGTGTTTTTAAACTACACACACCTTCACGAGAATTATTTTTGGATGATTTCAGCCCTGGAATTGCCAATCTCCACTAAACAAAAGGTAAAAGGTAGATGTTAACTTGAAAACTACATGATAAGGTGGAACAGAGCATTTTGAGCTTGGGAGATGTAGACAGACTAATAATAAAGGATTACTCAAACATGTGTGAATGAAACGACTATGTTTTTGAGATAATCAGCACAGTCTCCCATCTAAGTACTAACCAGGCCCACACTTATTTGGCTTTTGATATCAGACGAGATCGGGCATTCTCAAATTGGTGGGGCCATAAGCAAAAGCAAACACAACTAAATCAACATTTATAGATAGTGGACACCATTTCTCATCTAAATTGCTGTTTTTATTACTATTTAAATTGAAATTAGTGAGGTAATAACACTATAACATGGCTCGATCTTTAAGTACAATGAATCATTTATGGTTACTTCCACTGTAAGACTTGCATACACTGTAAGCCCGAATAAGTTACCAGAACTCCAAAAAATTGAGGCAATTGATTGTCTCAATTAATTTAAGTTGACAAACTTAAATATCACAATCTTCCAGAACTTAAAAGGATCTCTTGCTACTAATACCTTTTGATAACAGCTGAATTAAAAGTGCTCATTTATCTCAACTCAAATATTATTTATTATTATATTTTTTAATGCATTTATTTTGGGTAAGTAAAGATTTACATTTATATACAATGGAACATATGACATAAGTGAAATCATAATAGAAATGAAAATAACAACAACTACTAATAACTATTATTATTGCTATTTTGCCCAAAAAGGAGTGGGAAGAAGAAAACTTATTTAATCCCACCCCTACTCTTCATAATCGAACACAATGATCTTATTTTGTGTTTTTCAGACATTTTGAATTAAACTATATGAACTATTTACAAGTGCAGACAAGAGTCACTGTTATAGTTTGGCAGTATAACATAAGTGCACCAACAATGGTAAAGTTAAGGAAACAGACAATGGTAAGAAACAACAAATACAAGTAATGTAATGGACAGCACATACCAGCAATAGTAAGAAATGTAATGTAATGGACAGCACATACCAGCAATAGTAAGAAATGTAATGTAATG